TCTCTCTCTCTCTCTCTCTCTCAACTCCACAATGAACTTTTGGACTACAGTCTAAGTCTAATGAAAGCAACCTGCCTGAAGTTGCACAAATCATTCTGACAAATGCAGTTGTAAGTCTATGTAAGTCTAGATAGACTTTTAAAACCTTGAAAGCAAATCTCTGAGCAAGTCCAACCCTTCATGTATTTATCATAGTCCAGGGCGTTTAAGTAAGTCATCACTGCACCCTTGGCCTTATCTGATTGTCACAGCTTTACTCTCTTCCCCACTACTCATCAGCATTTATATAAACACTGTCTGTCTGTGTAAGTCTGAGATAGAGAAATCTTTGTATATGTCCTTATTATGTAGGCATGTATTTGGAGCAGATAGACTTCAGGAAAGTTACCCAAGAGTGAAGGGATTAAGGGAGGGACATGAGAGAGGGGGAGGAGATGTGATATCAAGGGAGGCACATTTCAGCAGAATGCAGTAGCTGGAAGTAGAAGAGAGTTAAGTGATCAATAACATCTCAGTCTACGTCTTTCTTCTCCACCCAGGTTATTAAGTCTCCAAAACCAAAAACTGAGCAAAAAGAAAAGTTTACATTGAAGTCAACTCATCTAAACAACACTTCTTTGAAGGATTCTAATACTGCTTCTTGAACCAGACTGAGCTGCCTGAGGCCAGAAGTTTACAAGCTCTTCATCCTATCCTTTAAATTCAAAAAGGATAAATACTTCACAATTTCTCTGTTAGCTGAATGGCAAAACAAAACAAAAATCTAGTAAAAAAAAATCCATGAGAAACCCCCTTTTGAGTAGTTGATTGTCTAGGAGACTCCTAAAACATTATGGGCTATTGCTCTTGCCATTGGTTGATCCCCAGAGGTCAAGATAAGTTCATATTGCTGAAGACACCATGCACTTCAGACACAGGGTTCAGAGGTTCCTGAGCTGTAACTGGCCTGAGAGTCTTCTCTCCAAGGATTATCTTTCATAATACCAGAAGGTAACACACAAACCTCCCAAAGAGGGAGGCAACCATCAGTAGCACCCAGCTGTGATGCCTAAGAATCATAAAGATGAGCAACATGGCACAATAATCCTAAGGGTGAATTAGTGTCATGAATGCCTTAGTAGTAACCAACAGTTCTGTAATTGGACTTAAGACCCACTTAACAAGAAAGAAATCATTCCTGGTACTAGAAACGTAGGCAACTACCCTGGGTTAGTGAAGTCACAAATTATAGAGGAGAACATACTACCACCACTTCTCTAAAACAGCATCACCCCTAACTACACTATAAGAATTTGTCCTTATACACTTAGATAAGTGTAGTCCTTATCCTTCATGAAGAAAATTTCTCCTTGCAATATATGGAGACAATTAAAAAAAAAATCACAGCCATCAAAATGTAGTGCTGTGACTACCAGTTCCAGTGAATAGAACTATAATAGAACTCTAACACTTAAGGTACAGGGAACATCATAGAACATGCATAGGAACATCATAGACCATCATAGGGATGAAAAGCTTGCTGGTGGTGGTCGTGTCAGAGGAGCAGCAGTTGGCAATTGAGCTTCAGGAGTTCAGTTCACCACAATGAAAGGCACAGATGGGTGAATTTTGGATAGGCAAGGCTCCAAAGGTTTCGGATCCATAATATCTCTTGATAGTGCTGTGCTGCCATTGTTCTTTGGTATCTGCCATGGTGTGAATGGGCATGGGGGGGGAATCCCCACTGCCTTTAATGTAGTGTGATTATTTCATGTGATTATTTTTGCCTGTGGATTATTATCAAGAAGGTTTTTCTTAAGCTTTGTTTAAGTAATGAAGTAACTAACTGAAGTCATTATTCTATACAATAATAGTATTAGTTTAAATAGAATTTTGATGATTAAGGGTTTCTAACAAATATAGTAATGGATTATATAGCTATATAGATTATATAGATAGAGGTTAGTTTAGTGGGAAAATTAATAAAGGTAAAATTTGGATATAGTGTTGGCCCCAGGGGCAGCAGAGGATAGAAAATAGGAGCGGGGAAGTGTCACACAGCTGGGATGTAGCTGTTTCTCTTGAGGACTCAGAGAGACTGTGGTTTAGGTTAAAGATTTAGGAAAACAATTGAGTCCCGGGAATTAAGCTAGCTCAAGGGTTTTTTTTTTATTCTTGATGCTGAGAAATATGTTCATGGGTTCAGTGTGTATCACAGCTAAACCAAGTTTTAAATAATAACTTCATGTAACTAAAAAGCAAAGAGTTGCATGGTCAGTTAAGATCATTATACAAGACTCTAAAGTAGAAATAAAGAAACAAATAGCCTGTTTTTCTGGAAATTATAAAAATTACTGCCTATGTAAAAGTCTAAAAGACAAATGTGTAACTAAGTGTGAGTTTTTCAGCAAATTCATAAAGACATGGTTAAGAAATATAATTGAGTTGAGCTATTCCAGAAAAATATTTTTATGGTGATTATTTAGTAACGGTGTAACTTTTGGTTATGGGAAACATCCTTCTTTTTGTAATTTACTTGGTGTGGGTATTGTAAACAGGGTTTCTGAAAATAAAAAAGTAGAAGAAACTTTTATCCCTCAGAAAAGAAGCCTGTGTGTTTTCTCGCCAACTGTGCATCTCGTTCTCCGTCTCTCTGACCTGCAGAAGTCTGGATCCTCCAGAGGTTTTAAGAGCCAGAGCTTGGCTTTCTAGGTATATACATATTAAACTCTTTGGCCCATGTGACCCCTGCTACAGTTAGTTAGCTCCTTACTGACAATCGTCATAAAAATAGAAATAAATGAATCTATCTGTATTCTAATTCAATCTTATTTATAGACACAGAAACTTGAAATTAATATAATTTTCCTAAGCCACACATTATCCTTTGGATTTTGTTCCTAAATATCTAAAAAATGTAAAAGATACATTTCGTTTATTGGCTACTAAAAAATAACTATGCTATATAAAAACAGGTAAGAGACCATACTTTGCCAATTCCTGATCTTAAACAAAAATATTACAAGTGTTTATAAAATATTTAAAAATAAAATACATGGGAACAATGCAAAGTATGAGAGGTAAAATTTAAGAGTATAACACTGGTTGCAAAATCCTAATAAAATATGTAAAGCAGTATAATATGTTTTAAAGTATATTCTGTGTGATCAAAGATAGATATTGTGAGCCCTATTGAAATAATTTTAAAAATATTTTTAAAGATAGTTAAATAATACAATGACATTGTGATGTTAGTGCAAAGATAAGCCTATATAGTATAAGGAAGTCAACATCCCTCATGTGTCAAAAATATACTGTTCTTTTCCATAAAAGTATAAACTACAAAGAAAAATATAAAAAGGACACTTTTTCTACAAATACTTGTGGAACAATTTGATATCATATTAAAAATAATGGGTCCAAATTCATAACTCACAAAATTAACTAAAAATATAAAATCATTGGCTTAGCTGTAAAAATCTCAAGCTTCAAAATATCCTACTGGGTTCTCTATAACTTGTATGTAGGCAACTTTTATTCTCTGTGACTCTAAAGTAGAGTCTACACAAGCTATTTGCTGTTGAGTTTAAGCTTTATTGCATTGTGATCAGATAGGATACAGGAGTTATTTCAGTTTTTCTAAATGTGTTAGGATTTGCTGTGTATCCCATTATGTAGTTAATTTTAGATTAGCGTTCATCAGTTGCTGAGTCTTTGTGTGTTCCTCAGTTCATGTAGATATGTAGTAAGAGGGAGTGGGCTGCATCTGGCCACCCCATTCCTAGCCGCCCAGCTAGCTTTACCCCTGAAATAATTACACAGAAACTGTATTAATTTAAACACTGCCTGGCCCATTATCTCTAGTCTCTTATTGACTAACTCTCACATCTTGTTTAACCCATTTCTACTAAATCTGTGTATCACCATGTGATTGTGGCTTACTGGCAAGAGTCTAACCTACGTCTGTCTGGGGCAGGAGAATCTTGGCATCTGCCTCACTGCCTTCTTCCTCTCAGTATTCTGTTCTGTCTACTCCACCCACCTAAGGGCTGCCCTATCAAAAGGCCAAGGCAGCTTCTTTATTCAACCAATGAAAGCAACAGAAATACAGAAGGACCTCCTATACCATAGATATCTGTTAGGTCTGTTTGATGCATCTTATCATTTAATTCTGAAGTTTCTCAACTTGTTTGTCCTAGTGGCCTGTCTGCTGCAGAAAGTGGTGTGGCAAGGCCACCTGCTGTTACTGAGGTTCAATTAGTCTGTCTGTGTCCTGAAGTTCAGTAGCATGCTGTTAATGAAACTAGATAATTCAGTGTTTGGTGCATAGCTGTTTAGTGTTGCACTATCTTGTTGGTTAGTTGTTTCCTAAATTAGAATGTGCTGCCCTTCTTTATGACTCCTAAAGTTTGTTCCTAGATAGAATAATAATCCTATAATTTTGACCACTTCATTGGATCTACTATGGTATTAAAGAAAATGAAATTCTATGATTAAGTGATATGATGACTAACCTAATTTTTGTAAATAAGTAAATATATGAACATACATATACTTAGGCATTCATATAACTATATTTATATATATGTACATATGTAAATAACCATATGTATCTGTGTAAATACAAGTATATTCACACATACATATGGTATTAGCATAATATTAGGCAAGGATATAAAATATTTAAGTGGCATCTAAATGTACTATAAGACACACAACCAGAGAGTGAAAGTTTAATGTGAAGCAATACATTGTGAGTCTTGGATCTTTGGAACATAGTACATAATGATAGAATATTAATGATTCTTTTTCACATTTCAGTTGGAAATAAATACTGTGAAACTTAGAGTATAAACTGTTGCTGAGGGTTTCTGGTGTAGTATGCAGGTTGACAAAGGTTTCTGTCCCACCAGTCCCGCAGCCGTTCAGTCCCAAAGAAACACACAGAGGTCTACATTAACTATAAACTGGTTGGCCTATTAGCTCAAGCTTCTTATTAACTCTTATAAATTATATTAACCCATAATTTTTGTCTGTGTTAGCCCTGAGGTTTGGTACCTTTTTCAGTGAGGCAGTCTTACCTTGCTTCCTCTATGTCTGGAAGATGACTGCAGACTGCGTTTTTTTTCCTTTTCCCAGAATTCTCCTGTTCTCATAGCCTTGCCTCTGCTTCCTGCTTGATCATCTCGCCTATACTTCCTGCCTGGTTACAGGCCAACCAGTGTTTTATTAAAATACAAGTGACAGGGTACAGACCATTGTCCCACAGCAGTAAACTTTCTCCTTCTGCCCCCAGACTCTTCACACTCTTATTCCTAACACACACACCCTAATTTTCTGCCTTTCTACTCTAAAGTAAGTTAGTGGCTTTCAATATATTCCTGGTATAAGTCTTTGCTTGGAATACCTTCCAGTAGCTCTGTACACATGGAAGTGAAAATTAGGAACTGTCTTGGGAGAGCTACTGAGGAACCCTGGAATATTAGTAAATGAATGGACTCAGACAGTCTGCATCACAGGGCTGAGCAATCTAGTACATTAATGCCTTCATGAAACCACCAGATAACCCTTATTAGGTAAAATAAAATTTATATTCTGTCTAGGGACTTTTGGAAGGCAAACCTGTTGCTGGGCCCTAATATCTTCCTTGGGAGAGGGGTTGAAAAGGAATGACATCAATGAATATAGATACTGTGAGTCAGGTAAAGGATTTTCAGCAGACTCACTGATTTAGTCATGGAAAAAACTTATAAACCTTCCCAGCACCCAGGTGTTCTGATCCATTGACAGTTGACATGCACGCTCACCCCACATCAACTCATCACAATCAGAACTTCTGATAGTGCTTATTGCTAGTCATTCAGGAAACACTACTTGGTCACTCCTCATTGACTAGGCATAGTCAGAACCTCTGACAGCACCAGGCAGACTCCAAGTTGGCTCCTTTTGTCCTGATAGGCCTTAGCTTCCTGCATATCTACACTTTTTATTTATTACATAGGGAGCTCAGTGGGACCAAGAGTTCTTTGCTCAGAGCTTGTTGAACCTGCCTTAGGAAGGCTCAACAACTGGTCTGTTCCTGTCTTAGGTTGGCCTGTCAGACAAGCTCTTGCCTGTCATTGACTATCAGCCCTTGAAGTACACACATTCCTGGAGAGTTGCCAGGACTGGCGAATGAGGCTGTAGCCTTTTGAATTACAAATAACCATGCATGCATAACTTCCCATGGAGGACTGGGAGAAGGATGCCTAAGAGCCATTAACATCTGAATAATCACCTTAGTTGCAGTCCACTGATGTCAGATCTGCTGAGGAAACATTTAAGGAGAATAAGGATTAACAATTCCACACCATCAATTACTGCATATGTGAGCATCCAGGAGGGATCCAATAGCCTTTTTATATTATGCCAATTTTTTTTTAAAATGAATAGTCAAAGGCCATAACCTCTGCCCCTAATGAATCAGTTTGTTTGAGGGGGCAAGGAGAACAAGAAAGGGGAGTATATATATTACCCATCCTGGGTTATTCCCTCCTTGGTGGAATCAGGCTTATCCATGGCTAGGCATACATCTCTTACAGGGACCCATATTGGAATTGTAGCAATCTGAGGAAAAACCCAACCATACCCTCTCCTATGGGTTAGCAGCAGGGATGGCTACTGCCATTGAAGGGAGATATGATCTCTCCATCTTACCAGGGGCAGGGTGTGTTTCTTGGCAGAAATGTGCAATGCTTGTAAGTTGGGCTGAGCTCCTTGACATCAAAACTGAGAAAATTCATGTGGAAAAGTACCTCTGTTAAGGCCAGATGAGGGTCTCTCCTAGCCTTTGGCAAGTTAGTACTGGCCAACATCTCTGTATAATCTCTGTTGTTCCTCTCCACAATGGCTTGTCCCTGTGGATTACAGGGGATGCCAGTGGTACAGGAAAGCTTCCAAGAGCCCAGTAGAGCCCAGAAAATTGTTTAATTGTTGAGAGGAATAGGCAGAGCTCCTGTCAGTCTTAAGTGCTCAAGGTACCTCCATAACTATCATGACCAACTTAAGGGCCTTGATAGCATTGACAGCTTTCTGTCCAGAAAGAGGGCATAAGCAAAGGAGGAACAAGTATCTAATATCACATGAACATATTTATAATTGTCAAAGGGGGGATAGTTGTAACATCCATTTGCCAGATGGCATTAAACATCAACCCCCTGCACAATTAAGTGGTCCTAAGGGGGTAAGAGGTGTTCAAATGGCACATGTCTGGGACAAATGTTTACATCAGAAAACTTATAATTTTGGAAGAAGTCTATGCAAATACAGTGGAGGTAGGTGAAACTGCTGGTGAAGAGCCTTTGCTTGCTCTAGGAGATCCATACTGGCTGTTAATATGATGGTCTCTGTGATCTCATTTCCTTGAGTCAATAGTCTGGGCAATTTGGAGTAGGATCTAATATGTGACAGGTACCAGGGCTCAGTCTTCTGATTTAAGACATCTTGTGTGAGCACCATAGTGCTGGTAATGGGGGGTCAGTGAGTCTTTGTCTCAAGAAAAGACCAGTGTATGAACTTTCTGTACAACATATTGACTGCCAAAAAAAAAATGTTAAGCAGTTTTGCTGGCAGTCCACTAGAACCTTGAGGAAGACCAATAGCTCACCAAATTGAATAGAACCAGGGTTAAGGATAACATATATAACATCTTTGGAAACAGGACACTGGATAAAAACAAGATATCTTTTTTTTTATTGGAATCTGAAAAGGCCAGGGTGGTGTGAGGGATGGGAGTGGAGAAGAGGACTGCATGGGGCTGTCACTTTATTTGAAGTGTAGGGAGGCCTGCTAAGATCTTGGATTTTGACAAGTGGTTGCCAGTTAATTTTGTATTATATCCAAAATGATAGAATGATAAACCATTCAGTCAAGGGATGTCCAGGAGATTAGTCAGTCCTGTCCAATTAATCTCTAAAAGTGGTTTCCTAAGGAAGAAGATCGATAATGCTCCAATTCGAGGTGCATCACCAATAAAATTCCCCAGGGTTACACACATTGTCCCATTAACCTGAATACTTTTCACACCAGCTCCACAAAAATATCATTTGATCTCCAAATCATTCTCACAATTTCCTAAAAAAAACTAATCTGAAGGCCCAGAATAATTTGTCTTTTGTCTACAATTTTAGTATAAACCTTTACACCATTGACTCTAAGAGATTGCTGACTCACATTTACTTTAGTGAAGCTGAAGGTGCTGAGGTGGGCATTAGATTCCCGCACAACTGGTTCTATGTTTTCTGGAAGGAGTTTCTCTATGAATTGACAAATAAAGGGCCACATGTGCTTTACCTTTTTATTTAGCCATTCTACTCTTTCAGTGTCTAGAAAATGAACTCAGGCAGGAAGATTGCAGGTGTGCACCCCCAGGTACACAGCTTACCCCTTGTTTTCCAACAATGCTGGCACACAGCACAGGTGGCTGGCCTTGAGGCCATTGCACCAGTGGCACAGGTGAGAAGCCAAAGATCCAGCAACATCCAACTGAAGATCAGCCCCAGGTAGCTGGGAGTGTATATAGGCAGCAGCAGGATGAAGTTGTGGCCACTGCTGCATCCACCCACCAGCTGCCAAGGGTGAAAGGGGATGAGAAGCTGTGAGGACACAGCAGAGCAGCCAGATGCAGCCTTACTCTGCTGACAAGCCCCAAACTTCCAATACTTGGACTACCCACCAAAGTCTCAGAAGGTCCCATAGAGGCAGCAGACATCCCAGATGGCTGCAGTGGGCTCAGACACCTGGGTTGGCCCAAGCCTTGGACCCTGGGACCACAAATTTACCAGCAACATGTTGCTGTTTCTTGACCTATCAGGACCACATGGAAGGACAGAAGCACAGGAAGAAGCAGGGAGCTCAGATGATAGGCACACAGTCCAGCAGAGGTCTGCGGGGGCTCAGAGCATTCACTGAGGCCTGAGTTCTGTGTCCTGCATGGGGCAGATGCCTATGCTGTTCACATGAGGGAAGCCAGGCACCAGAAGCTCTTCATCTTGTAAATCAGACAAGGGAAACCTAATGTAGGATTTTTCTCTTTATGCCGTGATTACAAATGATAAATAAAGGAACTGCTTTGGGCCTATAGAAGAGCAATAGAGGAATAGAGCTAGGTGGGGAAAACTAAGCTGAAGGTTGGGAAAGAGAAGGCAGGGTCAGAGAGAAGCCACATAGCCCTGCCAGAGTCAGGTGGAACTTTAGCCAGTAAGTGAGGTTTTCCCAATTCAGTGATAGTAAAAGAAAAAAAAGCCACACCATTTTGAAATGCCAGCTTTCTGGGTTATACTGCCAACATGACCTCTGGTTATTTCAGGAGACTAAGCATTTGAATGGGGTTTGTGAGCAGCATGCTGAAGCTTTTTGATAGCAACATAGAGCAGCTATGTGCCATAAGATGGGGCACTGTGCATGGCTCTCAGAAGCGGTGAGCATCTCCTCCATGTTGGAATGGGCAAGGCAAGCAGAAATTACCATATATACCCTAGCAATGTCACAGCTTAGATTATTAAGCACTTATCATTTTAAGAAGCACTTCTGATCAGAAAATAATTACAGATATGCAAAAAGACAAACCCAGGTAAAAAAGACTTCTAAATGGGTCACAGTGTTGGATAAATGTTTGAAGGCTTGGGAGAGAGAAGAAAAAGAGTATAGAAAGTTGGGAAAGAAGTAAATAGTTAAAAAAAACCAAAGTCTTTAAAGGGACAGAGAACAGATAGTTATAGATTAAAGAACTAAAGACAAATATTAAAAAGTAATAAAATGGAAAAATAATAAGCCACATAAAGATAGAAAATACACAGAGAGTCTGGATTATGTATATTATTGTGTTTTCTTTAAAATTTTTGTCTATAAAGTAGCTAAGTATAGAGAAACATTTCATTATATGGGCTGCTAAGCTAAACCAGCATGTATATTACAAAGGTATCTTGACTTCAAAATTTTGGTCTAAGAATATGTTGCTTTGGAAAAGAGGTTCTTCTTTTGTTTCCACAGAGGATGAGAACCTGTGAATTGCTTCCAGACTAATATGACTTGATGCATCAATATGCCCTGAAAGGTCTCCATAAATCACCGCCCCCTCAAATTACTTCACCCAATAAACAACAGGAATCAGTTTGGAGAAAAACTATGCCCATATGCCCAAATATTGTTTGTAAATGTTTCTTTACATTTAAAAGGGAATCTGCTATAGAGATGGATACTTGCATTGCTATGGAACTTGCTCTATTGATACAAATCTAAGGTCAATATTGTTGTACTGTGTATATGTATTTCTGCTCTTGATTAAGGTATTGTGATTGTGCAGTTCATTTAAAACATAATGCATAATTAAGAAATATAGGTAAATAGATAATCATCTATAATATCAAGCTTGTAGTCATGTTAGGTTTTCTAGATATATAGAGATATATTTCAATTAGATAGGCATTCTTCAAACCTTTTAAAGACTACAAGAATATGGCATATAAAACGTTTAAGAACTTAAGACTTTTCAGGCAATGAAACATATCTGCTCAAGAGAAAGATGGGCATCAAAGAGGCTCCTCATGGAGTTTATTAGCCATTTAGGCAAGAAACTGCTCTTGCTTGGACTGCTTGATAAACTGGACAAGCAGCACCTGCAGAGAAATGACCAATGAACTTGCCTAAAGGTGAGATGATTCTTTGGGGTTCCTACTTCATGAAAGAGTCTCTCAGATGTTCTCCAGGATACAGAAGAAAGTGACTGACAAACTGCCAATATAGGCAAAACTGTCTTTGAAATTTCCTGCTTCATGGAAAAATCTGCCAGATACTATGGGCCTATAGCCTGAAAACAGATGTACCAATGGTTTAGAAGAGCTTCGGGTGATTGTCCAGGCTGCGAGTTGTCTCTGTCCATTCTAGAGTTTTGGAAGTTGTTTACAATGCACTTCCTGTTTACTTAGGTAATATTATATCCTTCTGGAGTCGTTGATGGAGTTGAAGAATTGATAGATAGTAATAATATAGTTTTCCTTAGTTATGAGAAAAGATAAAATAGATATAACTGTAATTCTTGCTTAATAACTGTTTTGTGTAATTTTACTATGTTGAAGTTAAAACCTTCACTTTTTATTTAAACAGAAAAGTGGAAATGATGTGAGATTTCCCTCTGTATGCTGTGATTACCATTAATAAATAAAGGAACTTCTTTGGACCTATAACAGTGCTGTACGGGAACAGAGCTAGGTGAACATACGGAGAGAGAAGGCAGGGTCAGAGAGAAGCCATATGGCCACTCAGGAGACAGAAGGAACTTAGGCCAGTAAGCCACAGCCAAGTGGAAATACACAGATTACTAGAAATGGGTTAAATTAAGATATAAGTGTTAGCCAATAAGGAGCAAGAACTAATGGGCCAAACAGTGTTTAAATAATATAGTTTCTGTGTGATTATTTCTGGGCTAAGCACCCAGGAACCAACAAGCAGCCTCCTTACTACAGAAGCCTATTACCTCCAAGACCATGCCTTGAAGTGTCATCTACACCTGAAGCTCAGTCAGCACCCTGAGACCTCGGTCAAGAAGGAAGCTCACATCAGTTGCAGCTCACACACCTCAGACCTGGCCAGCACCAGCTTCTAGGCCCTCATCTCCCATGCTGCCATGCAGCTCACTTCTCCCTGCTAAGGCAAACGTGGCACTCCCACAGATGATAGGCCACTCTACCCTGCTTGTCACCACTCCTTTGAGCAGGACAGCAGGAGACCAACAGCCAACAGGGAAATTGTATCAGACCTTTATGTCTTGGTGATTAGTGAGGAACTTCTGTGTCTTTTTAGGCTACAGCCATATGCTCACATGGTGTCTCCAGACAAGGGACAGCATTCAGGAGCCCAGTTTTGTTTCTGCCTCCTGGGGTGGGGTGTCAGCCCTTATATGGAGACACTGGGTGAACTGAAACAGAAAAAAATGTGACTTCTTAATTGAATGGGTGACAAACATGACAGACAACACAAAAGAAGGAAAGGATGAGAGTCCTAATGCTTACCTGTCAAAGGTACCGAGGGACCTTTCAAAAGAAGAAAAGGATGGGTGTCTTAGTGCTTACCTGCCAAAGGGAACAAGGGGCCTTTTCACCAAAAAAACACCATCTTGGGGACACTGCATACCACCATGAGTGAGGAGAGGAAGATGTCTAGAACATGTTCTGGCAAAAACATAAAAATTACAGCTGCAACAGAAAAAAAGGGGGGGGGGGACTCTGACCAGGCAAGCTCAATATCTGTGTTTGAAGTCCCTGTTCCGGGTGCCAGATGTTGTTGGTCCCTAAGGTCTTCCTCAGGGGAGAAGGGTGAGAAGGCACAGTGTCATCATCTCAGACATTGGGAGTCAAGTATAAGTCAGGTATACAGCAGACTCGTTTATTTAACAACAGGGGAAATACTATAAACCCTCCCAGCACCCAGTCATTCTGATCTCTTGACAGTTGACATCACATTTTCATCCCTCATTGACTAGACATGATCTGACAGCCCCTGTTGCTAGGCACTCAGGAAACACAGCTTGGTAACTCCTCTTTGGCTAGGCATGGTCAGGACCTCTGACAGTGCCAGCAAGACTCCAGGTGGACCCCCTCTGGCCTGGTAGGCCTTAAGTCCCTACAACCTCCCTTTGTTTTCCTCAGCCAATGAAGCCCCTCCTTGAAGCACAAGCCTTGGGACTACACTTCAGATTGCACTCCAGACCCCATGTTCCTTTGAACTTGTTTTTTTTTTCCTGCATGGTTCATAGCCTGATACTTCAAGAAGAGGCCTCTGTCCCTGACTATCCCATCCAAAGTACAAGTTGACATGTATCTCAAATCTGCAGAGCACAAGCCATATGTTTCATAAGAACTTATAAATGGATGAAAGAGACTTCTGGGGAAAAACTGCTTTAGATAAAAAGTTTATTATTCTTTTTTCAAGTTTTGAAACATAAAGATGGAAAATATAAATATAGAGAATCAAAAATGTATAAAAAGCAAAGTAAAAGAACACTACTTTCTAAAATTAAGAGACATATATATGTATATATATCACTATATGCTATATACATATTTTTGCTTTTTAAATTATTTTTATTGAGCTATACATTTTTCTTTGCCCCCTCCCTTTCTTTGCACATACACATTTTTCTGCACTTGCATCATATCACCATAAACATTATTGCCGGTGTTGTTCAGTTGTATTAATATTGGAATATTGGTATATTTCCATAGCTGAATGGGGATTGGGTGGTTCTATGTCTCTCCTCCTAGCCCAGATGACCTTGAAGAAGACAAGGGTGAAGTCAGGTTAGCTGAGATGCAGCTGGTCACACTCTTCTTTATCCACACTGCCCCCAGGAGTCACTTATCTTCCTTTACCTAAATCCTTTACCAAATCTCTATCCTTGGAATCGACTTTGCTCCCCCTTCTTGAGAGCATAAAATGAGCTAGTCACACCCTGCCTGGCCTGAGCTCAGATAGAAGAGCAGGTGATATGGTGCAGCAATGGTAGGGAAGGAGAAATCGAAGGGTCAAAGGCAGGAGTTGAGTGGAAGACATCAGTGCACAGATGGTCAGGAGGAAGGTACAGAGGGCATGCCTGGTGCAGGCTTTTGGATGGGCATTAGGAATGTTTGACTTATGGTCCTGGGAATAAGAGATATGAAAACATTTCCACGTGACTGATTAGGTCAGTTCTTATATTTCATCTATGCATTATTAGTAGTCTTTGCTAGTGTTTAGTGAATCCCACTGTGTGACAAGAGCATGGACTTTGGTTTGTTGTGCTCTCATTTGCTTAAGGCACCCTTGAGGAACATTTGGTGTTTGTTGTGAGTTCTGTTCATGATCCTCTGTGATGAACAGTATTTTCATGTTATAATTGAGGCCCATGAGATTCAGGGCCTCCAGTAAATTTGAAAATATCAGAGCCAGAGTTTGAAACATATTAGACCCAAATTCCTATCAAATAATTTCCCTGTTTTGATAAATATAACAAGTTTTATTATTTAACTTAGGAAATAAAAGTTTGAGGGTCTTTCTGAATATCCTCTTTATACTATGATTTACTACATTTACTGGATAGGCCAGGGATATAGAGGAAAACCAAGCACTACTGTTCTGCTAAAGGAACACAGCAATAAAGTGAATCCTGATGACATTCTGCTATACCTATAGATCTCACATATACCTATATGTCTCACTCAGTCTGCACCAGAGAATCTCCTGACTGCAGTAGGTGGAAACTAACCCAGAGACCCAAATCCAGACAATATGCAAACTGTGGGTGACTTTGGAATATTCAGTTCCACATGGGATACTTTCATCAACCCTCCACCTCAAAAAGCTCAGGAAACTTTGTGGAGGAGGAGGCAGAAGGTGTGCAAGAGCAGAGCTATGGAAGACAGCAAAGAAACAAGATCTTCTAAACACAGCAGGCAGACACATGAGCTCACAGAGACTGAGGCAGAATGCACACAGCACGCACAAGTTCATCCCAGATGGGATTTCAACACTGTGAGTGGGAAGTGGATACAAGTTCGTATCCCTAACCAAGAAGCTATTTCTAATAGACAACTGCTTGCAAAAGGAAACTTCATTTTCTCTAATGGAATCTCACTGGGTATACAAACCATGCTTAAAAGGAGATGGCTAACTCAAGACAAATTCAAGGGTAGTGATTGTTGTTGTTGTTACATAATACTTTGATTTTTTTTTAAAACCCACTGCTTGTATGTTATGTTTTCTGATATCTTGTTTTCTATGGGGTGTGTGTATGTACATGTTTGTGCATGTATGTGTGTAACTTGCTCCTGCTTTTTCTTTATTTTATCCTAGTTATTTTGTTTTGCCTGTTTGTTTCCTAAAGATATATTAGAGAAAAGAGGGGTAGAGGTAGATGATTTCTGGGAAGGTGGGGAGGATCTGGGAGGACTTAGAAGGGAGTAGAAACTGTGATAAAAGTATATTCTATGAAAAAATATTTTCCAAAATACAAAAGCAAAAAGAATCAAGGCAAAGAAAAATTACCTCGTTTTAAATATGATGATAAAAAAATGTTTACATCTGTTAGTGTTTAAAGCTGAATTTCTTTTCTGTTGCAGCCAAGGCTTAGCATAGTATTAAAAGTGCTTGCTAGGAAGAACGGCGATGCCTGAGAGCACACACCTGCAAGTAACTGTGCATCTCAGATCTCAGCTGCCACGTATCCACACATGAGCTCAGCTGCCACGTATCCACACATGAGCTCAATTCAAAGCAGAGGAGTCTAAGCTTGTCCCCTGGCTCACAGTACATATTGGTAAATTGTCCGTGAACCACCACTTCCATCTTCCCTGTGTTGTCTTCTATTCCATAGTAAATGAATTCACCCTTCACCTTTTTCTGAAAAAGAAATAATTAACATTCATCTTCTGAGAAATATGTCAAGTGCTGTGACATCTATGAGACTTAAATAGTGCTAGCTTGTCTTTGATACAGCAAATGCAGGCCTAGGTTTAGAATTACGGGTACAAAACAGCTGTGGGGGTTCTGGTTCACAAATCTCGCTTTTGGAAAAGTCTCTCAAGCTTTTCTTATTTAAGGTTTTCATCTGATAGGTTATTAGAGAAAACCTTCCCTCCTACCAAATTGGTAGGGATGAGAGTTAAAGAACCCAAGTAAGGAGAAACCAGAATAAAGTTGGCTGTCATTGTGAATATCCTAGGTAATACCACAAGAACTAAGAAGGGTGGCTTTGACTCACTGTGTGTCTGAGACTAAGTCCCCCTTAAATGAATGATGTTTTCTCAGTGTCCACTTGTGTTCATTCTGTTCCAAATATTTCAACCACTAAATCTGCACCATTTAGCCCAGCTTTTCTTGTTTGTATTTTGTTTGTGTTGTCAAGGTTACAGCCAGATGTACTTGCATAGTCACCTAGACATACTGCAGAGAACACCACAGATACAAGCAACAGGCCACTGCTGCGTATGTACAGCAGACTATGAGACCATGCTTTGAACAAGTAGTTAGGCCATCTATGAGTGCTATCTACAGGGAAATTGGGGCTGTAAGACACACCTAAATCCAAGAACTCCTCAGTCTCCTCTATATTACTTGTCTCCTGTCATAACTTGAGAGATAGAACTGTATTTTTTGAGTCTCTTATATTCGTTTCTCTTAAGATTTAACATAGGCAGGGAAGGGAGAAGAAAAAAATGTAGAGCTCAATAAAAATCAATAAAAAAAAAGATTTAACATAGAGGTCACTTGCTTAACAATCTCTTGATGAATCTAAATCCAGTCAGAATGGCTAAGATCAAGAAAACATTGACCAGCAAATGCTGATGTGTTTGTGGAGAAAGGGTAACCCTTTGGTAAAATTACAAACTGGTTCAGGCACTCTGAAAATCAGTGTGGAGATTTCCCTAAAGCTACGATCAACAGTACCATTGCTTGGCATATGCTCTGAGGAATCGACGCTCTTCTCCATAAGTACCTGTTCAGCTATGTTTCGTTGCTGATTTATTTACAATACCTAGCAGAGGATGGCAATCTAAATGTTCAGCTGACAAATGAATGATATATAAAATGGAATACTATTTAGCTGTGAAAAATGAAATCTGCAGATAAATGCTTGAAGCTAGAAAATATGCTGAGTCACACAACACAGACCTGAAAAGACAAATATGTAGAGGGTCTGTCCAAACCCCAGGTCAGCAGAGTGACTGGCCATGTGGGGCAGGAAGGAAATCTGGTTCAGACCCACTCAGTCGCAGGTGTTGTTTCAAACTTCTAAAGTCCGATACTGGGCAGTTTATTTTTAGGCATATTTAAGCACTATTCAATTATGATTTGTTAGTTTTGGTTCTTTGAGACAGGGTTTCTCTGTGTGTCTTAGGCTTTCCTAGAACTCACTTTGTAGACCAGGCTGGACTTGAACTCACAGAGATCCACCTGTCTCTGCCTTCTGAGAGTGCTGGGATTAAAGGCGTGTGCCACCATACCCAGCACTAAAGTTTTGTGATGACAATTAACTCAATACTGTGTATAAAAGAAAGTGTAAGACATGTTTACATCGAAACCTTTTCAAAGTACGCATGCCCCCTTCCATAAAGATGGTAAAATTTTATTGACTGAGAAACAATGCTCAAGGTAAAAGCCTAGGGAGAATGACTGAGATAAACCTAAGAGTCAAAAGGAGTCAGATGTGACCCCACAGATAGCACAGAGATGACTGGGCTATTGACTAAATCCATGTCCAGCCTTCTGGATGGAGAACAGGCTATACATATCTTTCTTTGAAGAGACAATCCTGTGTGTTTAACATTCCTGGTTTCCCTAGTATTTATCTGTGAGTACAAGGACCTTGTGCCCTCTGCACAAATAGGTATGTTTTCTCTTATTTGTGTATGCAAGCTCCAAATCTTTAGATTCAATGAGTAACCTAGAGTAAATTCAGATTTCAGAAAAGTAAAAAGTGACCATAATAGAAACGTTAAGGATGAGAATAGTAGGGCATTATTTCTCTGAAGGGAGAAATGCGAAAGAATGAGTGTGGGACACTTACCTGTGGAGGGAGGAGATGTGACAACACAGGGGAGATGGAAGGAGATTTTAATTAATATTAAGGATGTCAGGAAAAACCATAGGGAAATGTATTATTTTATTCTAACTTAAATTACATATACAGTCACACAAACACACACATGCATGCACAGACACATATGCATGTGTGTGCGCACACACACCTATTTGCAGTTGGATTGAAGTTACAGCATTTCTCCTCTCCCCACTCCTACCACCAAAAAACCCTCCTAGACTATCTAACAAAAACTCTAGTGCCAGGAATGGAATACTTCCTTTCAACTTGTTAATCAGAGCAGTCCAACAGACCCCAATAACAATTTAGGCTACTGCCAGGCAAAGAATGTACTACCCTTTTGCTGAAGGCACTACATAGTTCAGACACAGAATTTGGAGGAACTGATCTGGATTTGATCTAGAAGCCTCCTCACTGATGACTAACTTGTGTAGTTTCAGAAGAAGCCATATAAACTGCCAAAGAGAAGAGCAATTAACAGTCCCATTCCATCCCAGGTATACTGGCAACGAACCTGAACAATGGTCAGCACGGCAAGATTTTCTGGAAGGTGGAAGAGTGGTACTTACATCCTGGGAGTAGCCAGCAGTTACTTCATTGGATATAAGGTCTACTCATTAGGAGGGACTATGATGAATTCAAAACTGTGAATTTTTGGGACATGAAAAATCTCCTGCTAGTTGCCTGAGTCTGTATGATCTCTACGTGCATTCTAAATATGTATCCTATAGGCACAGGAAAGTGAACCTCCCATCCCTTCCCAAAGGAACTTCTTTTTGCAGTAGATGAAGACCACTAGAGAAGGGCACAACTGGTCACAACGCAGATTTCAAATGACCATAGGGTTCCCTCCTCCATTTAATACATTTTTAACATAATCCGTACACTTGAGGCTCAGGAAATATCACAGAGGAGGGGGCAGACAGAAGACTATATCTCAACTATGGAAATCAGTTTAGGGTTTACTAGAGACTTGACTGTAAATGGGATCCCAGGTCTAAGGAGAGATCCCCAGATTGTTCTCTGGACAGAGGAGAGGGTGCTTGAACTGGCCTTGGCCCATAACCATACTGATGAATATTTTGCTTATCACCATAGATCCTTCATCTGGCAATGGATGGAGATAGGGACGGGGACCCACGTTGGAACACTGGACTTAACTCCCTAGGTCCAAGCGAGAAGCAGAAGGAAGAAGAACATGAGCAGGGAGGGCAAGATCAGAGGGAACCTTCATCCGGCGTTGGATGGCGATGCAGACGGAGACCCACATTGGAGCACTGAACTGAGCCCCCCAAGGTCCAAAGGAGGAGCAGAAGGAGGAAGAACATGAAAAAGAAAATCAGAACCGCAAGGGAAGTGATCACCCACTGATACAAGGGGACTGATCTAATGACAGTTCACCAAGACCAGTTGACTGGGACTTGATCCAACCAGATTCTTCGGAGGAGGCTGGATTCCCTGAATGTGGCTGGCCTGAAGTCTTTCTAAAAAGCCATTGACAATGACTCTGGGACTTGTTTCCTCTGCATATTCTAGATTTTTGGAGATCCAGTCTGTTTGAATACTCACCTTCCTGGACCTGGAGGGAGCGGGGAGGAACTTGAACTACCCACAGGGCAGGAAACCCTGACTGCTCTTAGGGATGGAGAGGGAAGAGGAGAGGGAGTGGGGGGAGTGGGAGGGTGTTGGGAGGAGGGGCGAAAATGGAAACTTTTATATTTTAATAAAAGAAAAAAACAAAAAGAAAAAGAAAAGAAAAAATATAAAATGGAGTTCATTTGTCAAAAAAAAAAAGAACTGGAGAGCATTTGATTCACGATAGGTTCTTCTAAAAATAAAGTAAAAAGAGGTTGGGAAGTAGGGTAGAGGGAATGGTTTTGGAAGGAGTTTGGTCAAGATACTTTGTATAAAATTCTCTAAGAATTAATAAAGATAATATAGGTAAATCAAATGTAACTGAGAGTAGTTTGAAGACGAGGTGATCAGTCTGTTAGCAACTTGCATTCTTATTCTTTTTGTCACCTCAAGTATACAGGCAAGGGTTCAACTACTAGTTATAATTAAGTTGCTACTCATATGGGTAAGAAAGAAGGCAAGCAAAAAAACCTTAAGGATATTGTATTGATGCAAAATACTCCACATAGGTCATCATAGTAAAATGCCAGGTTTCATGTTGAGTCTCTTTGTAAAAACGTTTTCGTGGTGATACCTTGATAGGAATGGGAAGAGGCTACGCAACACTGACAAGTGTGAAACTCCACTTCCTGTTTCTGACCAGGGAGGCCTTAGTTTCTTGTGTGCATAAAATCGACCCCATCCAAAATGCCAAGTTAAGTCTTAAAATCTGAGGTTGCAAATGAAATTTTACAAAATAAAGCAATGACTTACCACATACACGGCAAAAACTCCATTCACAAATGTCCCTACTATTTGTGAACAAATAGTATTCATTTTAGGTGTTGCATTGGCTCTTTGTCTCAGGGAAACTGGAATTTTCATTATTCCAGTTGCCATTCCAATGAATGGCACCATTCATTGGTGCCATTCACCTCTGATACGCTGGAGGCTCTGTGTATTTCTAGAAAACCATTGTGGCCAATGTAATCTGAGATGACAATGACTTTTTTGGGGATGAACTTCTCCTTTAGTACTTAGTCTAAAACCTTCACTCTGAAGAATTCAGTCTCAGTGGCCACTGTGGCATGGAACATCATTTTATTTTCTCTCATGTCATATATAAATAGTTCTGTCGCTTTTAATACCACCACTTCTTTGGGACCTTGGTGGTAACCATCTTCCTGAGAAGATTGCTTAGGTACAGTCTTCAGTCTTGGTTTCTTCATGAAATGCACACAGAAAAGCCAGGAACAGTTAAGATGGACTTTAAGGAATATCTTTCCTAGGTAGAGTGGAAAAATATAAGCAAAGTCTGATGTGCTATGGTGTAATAAATGGGGAATAAATGGAGGTCTGAGCAGTAGCTCCAGCATGTACTAATTACTTGTGGCAGGAAAATAGGTTGTATTACTATTTTTGTGGTATCTGGGAATACACTCAAGGCCTCCTGAATGCCAGGAAAATTCTCTTCCTCTGAGCTACGTTTTGAGTCTAACAATACATTTTAAAACTTAAATCACATTATCTTTTCACACACACACACACACACACACACACACACACACACACACACACCAGTACTGTCTTATAAAAAAGACCTAGGTATGCAGCCACTGGAAGCAACCCAGGGCTCTGCTAATCTGAATAATTCAGACTAGATGCTCTTCCATTTGCACAAGAGCAGCTCTGGAGACGAATCCTAGATTTGGAAAAGGAAGAAAGGTAGAGTTATTTGACAGCCTGTCTCCACAGTACTTGCAGTATGCACAGCCTCTCTCCTTTTCTCTCTTTCTCCCTCTTTTCCTCCCCTTCCGTCCTCTCCTTCCTTCCTTCCCTCCCTCCCTCCCTCTCTCCCTCCCTCCCTCCTTCTTTTCTTCTCCCATAACCTCACTTTCTTTGGTTCGTTTGTTTGAAACAGTTTCTCAACATGCATTATTAACTGACTCTGAAGTTGCTATGTAGGTCAAACTGTCTGGCATTGAACTCACAGAGGTTCACCAGTCTTTCCTGGAATTATAGGTGTGTGCCACCATACCTAGCTACTCTGCACTATTTCTGAACTCAGGATCACACTTTGAAAGAAGTATGGTGACAATTACAGGAAACCTAGAGTCCAATGTAGTGAGGTAGTTATGAACCAACAACACTCTCTGTGGTCTGGTTCGGAAGCCTGTGGATAGTGGGGTTTAGCTTTGATTTCTCCTCAATGTGCTCCAATGTTTTTGAACCATAGGAAGTGTACTCCGAATGTGACTTAAGCGGTACCTCAGATTGGTGTGAACACCGGACAGAAGGTACATGGGATTTAAGGAGTAGATGTTATACACTTCTTTAGAAATGAAAAAAAATTCTCAGGTGTTTTCAGAGTTTGCAGAAAAGGAAAATACTGGAAAAAGCCTAAAGTCATACCACATAGGGTTATCTTTATAATGTCTGAACTCTGCAGTGTTTCCCATAACAAAATCATTTAAATCTATATTCGTTGGTTGAACAGCAGCTCAAGATATGTTAACTGTTTTTAAAAATATTTTGGGGGTAGAAATGTGTGTGTGTGTGTTTGTGTGTGTGTGCGACCACAGGACTACACTGGATGTTGGTTCTCACCTTCTACTTTGTCTGAGACAGGGTCTCTCTCGTTCACTGCTATGCATACCTAATAAGCTATGTGTCAGTTTCTATAGATTTTCTTGTCACTCTGCCTTGAGCCTCTGCTTTGGTACACATGTGGTTTACACACATGAATGTTTATGTGCCCACATTTTACATGGGATCTAGTGATTCAAGTTCAGGTTGCCAGGCTTATGTGGCACGTGCTTTTATCCACTGAGTCATCTCTCAGACCTGCTTAAATAAAGTTTTAAAACTGTAAGCTATAGAAAAAATATGTGCATTGTGATGCAAATTTAGTAGATAAAGGATACTCCTCATATATGTAATAAAAGATAAAATAAACAAGATTGGATAGTGAAATGTGGCATTTTATAAAGAGATTCTAGATAATTTCAAACATTTATTTTGTGTATTATTTATTTTCCTCAGTTTTCTAAAATGGCATTTCTATAATTAAAACATAGAAAAATCATTGGTAATATTGTCTGCCTAACTTTATATTTCTATATCACGTTTTCCACTAAAATATTAATTTATGGTTCACTGAGTAAAAAATAAAGATGAAAGCCCAAACAACTAAACATCAAAACAAGCAAATAAATGTTAATTGTGTCCTTTAAAAAACAAGGATGCTCAGGGGCTCACTGCATCATACGGTTTCTTAATGAAGCAGAACGCAGGAGGAATAGAAAATGAATCTAGGGAAGGACTGAAAATCGTAAAATCAGATATTTAAAACAGACAAGTGACTTATTAAAATGAAACGTCACACATCATAAGGGACCATGGGAAATTTTTTGTGCTAATTTCTGTCATCATATTATGAGAACAGCCCATCATTACCTTGAATGGTGTTGCTGGAGACACCAAAGCAGCAGAGAAACTTCTGGATACTGTTGCCAAAGACGCCTGTTGCATACTAAAGTTGCTAGGCCGTGATGCTGGAGACTGTGGAGGAGGATTAAAGTTGCTAGCCCTTGCTGTTGGGGTGAACTGAGGGGTATTATAACTGCCAGATACTCTTGCTGCAGACACTAGAGGACTGTTGTAACCACTGGTTGTTGTTGCTGGAGTCACCAGAAAGGCCTGGACACTGCTGGGAACTGTTGTTGGAGTCACCCAAGAGGCCTGGTCACTGCTGTGCACTGTTGCTGGGGTCACCTGAGGAGTATTGTAACTGCCAGATAGTGTCGCTGCAGACATCAAATGTAGGGAGCCACCTGGAGGCACAGGTGGTCCTGCAGTTTGGAGGTATACAAGTCCATACCTGGCTTAGCCACGTGGGGCTGAGCACCCTTGCCTGCACCCTTGCTTGCACATGCTCAGTCCAGCAGAATGGCATTAACCAATCAGGACAGCATTCAAGCCTCTCTACCGTTTAAAAGCAGCTGCCTCTGGGCTCTACTTCCTCTCTCTCTAAGCTTTCTCTTGTCCCTGCTCTCTTCCCTTCCCCCAATTTTCCTCAACCAAATGCTCCGAATAAAGACGTGTACAGGGAAGGAATTCTCGTTTTTAGTGGCGTTCATTCCTGCTGGTCAGGAAGCGCGTCGCAATCAAAGGGCTATTATAACCGCTGGTCATTGTTGCTGGAGTCACTGGAAAGGCCGGGTTGCTGCTGTGCTCTGTTGCTTTAGGTATCCAAGAGGTCTGGACAGCCCTGGTCATTGTTGCTGGACTTTCTTGAAGTCCAGTTTTAGACACTGTTTTTTTGAGACTTCAGATGATCTCGATGACTACAAGAAACCATTGAAGTTACCTGAGAGGTGTGAATGCTGCTGGAAGCTGTCACTGGAGACACCTGAGAAGTCCGATCGCTGGTGGAAAATGGTGCTGAAGGACCCTGGGATGTTGTCAATATGCTGTGTGATATTTCTGGAGGCTCCAGGGGAGTCTGGAGGCTGCTGCAGGCTGTTGTTGGAAGCCCCTGAGAAGTCTGTGGTTCACTCATAGCTGGGCATCTGTTGGCTGTTGAAAGTTCTGGAAGTTTATACTCTTCCTGGAATGACTGTGTTGTCATGATGTCAAGTGATTTGGTGAGTGCGTCTTCAGGTTTCTGAAGGGAAATAGAGTTTTAGAATTCTTTGTATCCCGATAAATAGTTTTCAAAAATCAGATCAAACACATCTTTACAATTTCGTTTTTAAAAATACTTCCGTTTTGCCAGTTCCCCCTGGGCTGCAGGAGGTATTCTAGATCACATATAGAGATGTCCAACATGTAGCCTCTTCCCTTCCTAATGAGAATATCCCTTAGAAAGCTGGGCACTGAATTTCACTGGTTTGGCTTGGAATCCCAACTCTGTATGTCTTATAAAATGCCAAAGATAACTTGGTTCAGTTCACCTCAGGGTTGTTGTATGGGCAATAGGGTCAACAGCAAGATTGGCTCCCACTTATGTGTTTTTCTTCCCTCAACTTTCCAAAGAAACAACTCCATATTGTCTGCTGTTTGGGCACACAGGAATCCCTGTAACCACCCTTTCAGGTGATCTGGCAATCACTGTGCAATAAATACCCTGAAATAATGGACCACAGAGGCAAAATTTTAGGAGATAGCATGGAGTTCAGTTGATACAATATTTACCTACTAGATAGAACTCATGTAAGTATCTGCTTAGGTTAAGGTCTTTTAAATGATTATTTTGTATTTGGTTAAATGAAACTACTATATATATGAGTGTGTACACATATGCAGCATTTGTGCATAAGTTCAAACACATTTTAGTGCCTGTAATACACTTATCTAAACTTATATGAGGCACAAATCTTAAAAGATCCTAAATTTAGCTTCAAAGTAAAAAAAGTTAAAAAGTGAAATATTGTAAAAACTTTCATATAACTATCATATCAATTATTATTCCTGTTTTCTCTGTGTTTCTGATCCCGTGGGATGTAATTCTTCTGCAACCAGAAGTAAAAAAAAAAGATCCATCCAACAGTGGTAATTCAACAATGAAAGCCATATCAAAGAAAAGATGAGGGCTTTCTTCATTTTGAAGATAATGTAGGAGTCATAATAAGCAATGGAAGTTCTGCTATTGCGGTTCTAGTCACAAAGGAGTGTGCAGGCTTTCTGCCCAGAATCCCTTCCAATGAAGGCATCATTACACGAGTCTTTGGTATACTTGTAAAACATATTCATTAAAAGTCTTTGCTCAAAATTAAATGAAAGAAAATAGACGATGCCATCCAAGCTGATATTGTCCAGATAAAAATGATGATTAATGGTCTTTTATCCATACATATATGTTTTTAATTATATTATTATCATCATTGAGAAAGACATATAGTTAGATGTGCACATTTAGTTAACATTCTAAGTAAAATAACCTTAATAATTACAGTGACAAAACATTGATTATATAGAGATCTCTGGTGTAATGGCAGAATGTAATAAAATAAGTATTTGTAAATGACTGTCAGGTTTTCACAGTATACACTGAAGGAATGGATGGTTACATTAAATCAATAAGTTAGCAAGAGATCAGATGATAAGTTTCCTCAAGATTTTTAATCATTGTGAAGAAGGGTAGAGTATCTTTAAAGAATGAAGCAAAGGGTTGATAGTTCTGTTAATCATGCTGTGACTGAACTGGTAGAATGCTTATACAATATGCAAGAAGCCCAAGTTGGACTCATTTAAGCATCTGTCAAGATAAAATGTTTTAAATGATCAATCACATTATAACTCTGGTTAAATGAAACTACTATATATAGTTTGTTGAGATTATAAATTATTTCATAACAATATATACCTTGTCAAGAACAGAAGCTTTTCACTGAAATCTTAAGAGAAACAGTGATTGATTTAATTATGTTATGGAACTGTGGAGTCTTCAGTTTTTGTAGTTTTATTTCCCTTTTTCCTCAAAGGAAAGAATGCATTTTTTCTACAGCTAAGGGTGGATTTTCTCTTTTGTGTGTTAGAGATTGAACTTGGGGTCTCGTGTGAACAAAGCCAGGCTCCATTATGAAGTTTTATTCCCACTCCCTACAACCATTTTTAATACTGCATAAAAATGGTTTCAATAACAAGATAACTCATTCCATGTTATTGGATTCTGATTTTATTGATTCATTGGGAACTGAATACTTTGAACAAATTGCCAGAGAAGAGAATCATCTCATACCAGCATAGAAACATCTTATTTATGTCAATCTTCTATTTTGATTTGATGATGGAGAACACTAAGCTTAGTTTCAGAAAGTACAAGTTGATGTCTAATGCCCTTCAACATGTCCTTTAAAAACACATCCTTAAACTGACTGCTACTTTTGAAAATGTTTTTAAAGGGAGTAATGAGAGGCTGAAATGATGACTCAGGGAACAAGAGTACTTGTTGCACATTCATGAGGATCTAAGATTATATCCCAGAAATCATATAAAAATCAGGATTTTCCATATTTGCCTATACCCCATATTCGGGATGGTCTCTGGGACTTGCTGTCTACCAGCAAAGTCCCAGGTTCATGGAGAGACTCCATCTCAAAGGAAAAAAATCAGAGAGTGATTAAGCAGAGAATTTGAAGTCCTCCTTTGGCATCAACAAATGCATGCATACACATGTATGCACCCCCCCCCACACACACACACACTTGAACACTTGAAGTTCTCCTTTGGTATCAACAAATGCCATGTATGGATGCATATGTAAACCACACACACACACACACACACACACACACACACACACACACACACAAAGCAAATAATGATTTTATATTTTTGTTACAGGAGATTATGTTATACCAAATATAAAAAGGTAGTCCTGCAGTCCTAACAAAAAGAGTGACCAGAAATCATGAATTTGGTGACCCTTCACTTCACTTTTGCTATGCCCTTGGCACAGATAAAGGGCTTAAAGTAAGTACTCAGAGAAAGGTACTGAGGAGAACAAGCTTAGTGGATGCTTTTCAGTGAGATCTTAGACAGTGTACCTCTGATGAAGGTGTCGCCATAGTTGATCCTAGTTCCAAATCTTCCTCTGTGTTGAAGACAAAGTGGGAAGTGCTGGATTCGTTCTGACTGGGTCCTATTGCAGTGTTTTTGGCTTTGCTTCTGCTTTTATTTTCAACTGATGCAGTAAAAAAAAAGACAATAAACTGAATGCAGCTGTCTTGTTGTAAGACAGCAGAAGTCCATCCAGTGCTATGTTGCCTCTTGTATATGTCTAGATATATTTCCTGCTACTGTCTGAGTATATTTCCTGCTACTGTCCAGGTATATTTCTTGCTACTGTCTGAGTATATTTCCTGCTACTGTCCCGGTATACTACTTCCTGCTTATCACTGTCACCAACAAACAATACAGACACAGGAGCTGCATCAGGATTTACTTGCTCTTTTCAAGTGCAATGAGCATAGTTTTCCCTTATGGAGATTTATATACACAGCAGTCAAGCCCCATCCTAGCCCTTTTATCCTATAGTTCACTTTTAAGAAGAGAAAGATAAACATAGCGTGTACTCACTCGTTAGTAGATATTAACTATAAAAAATAACGAATACGCTATAGTCCACAGACCCAGAGAGACTAGGTAACAAGGAGGATTTATGGGAGTAAACCCACATCTCCCTGTGAAGGGGAAGTATAAGAGATTTTGTGAGTGAACTGAGGGCAAGTGAGGATGGAACATGAGCAGTCAGACTGGGGAAGGAGGAGGGAGAGAGTACTGGAAGCCTACTGGAAAGGGGGAACATTTGGGGTTAGGTAAAAATCTGGAGCAAGGGAATCTCCCAGGAATCTACAAGGATGACCCCAGCTAAGACTCCTAGCAATAGCGAATAAGTAGCCTGAACTGGCCGTCTCCTGTGACCCGACTGGTACCTATCCCAGTTGTCATCAGAGAAGTGTCATCCAGCAACTGATGGGAACAGATGCGGTCTCACAGCCAAACATTAGGCTGAAGCTCTGGGAATCCTGTCAAAGAGACGGACAATGGCTTGCAGGGGTCAGAGGGTTTACATCACAGAAAATTCACAGAATCAACTAACCTGGGCTCACAGATTCTCACAGAAGACTGAACCAAAAACTAGGGAGCCTGCATGGTACTCTGCATATATGTTACAGTTGTGCAGCTTGGTCTTCTTGTCAAACTCCTAACAGTGAGAACATGGGTTGTCTTGACTCTTTTACTGGCTCCTGGGACCCTACTTCTCATTCTGACTCATCTTGTTCTGCCTTAATACATGGGGAGGTGCTTAGTCTTACTGCAACTTGATATGCCATTTTTGTTGATACTCGTGGGGGACCTGCCATTGGGGGGTGGGAACCAAGGAAGGATTGGGAGGAGAAACTGTGGCCAGGGTGTAAAATAAACACATACATAAATAAATAAACTTATTTTGAAAAAAAATCTAAAATTTTCATGAATTTTTGATAGATTATCTTCTGCAGGTCACCCCAAATTAGAGAAACAGAGAAATAAATTGTGACCTGATCTCAAGTGTGGCAATAGATGAGTAGTGAATTTCGATAACTTACCTTTTGGGTCCCTTTTATTTTCTGGAGATAAGATCTTGGCATGAACCTCAGGTTAGTCTTAAACTGGAGAGCTCTCTGTTCCAATCAACTGAATGCTGAATGTCCATCTGAGTGTCCCACAGCTGTGGGACAATATGCCCACTTCTTTTCATGTATTTTGAACCTAGTAACTTGATAAAGGGGAACTTTTTCACACCCCTTAGATTCAGGATTATACTTAAATATTGACTCACTTGTTGCCAAAAAATACATTAATGATGGCATATCTTAATTTGGAGTTGTAGTAATTGACTCAGGTATTTTTAAGTGTGATATTAAAATCTTACCTTATAATTTTCTATTCATACTACAGTATTAGAAGCTCTTGTTTTTTCTGAGCAACTTCTGTTTTGCTGTTTTCATTTTCTTCACCCACCCCAAGGACATTTACATCCAGATGCACTAGAATTCTTTTTAGGAAAGGAGTTGGCTTCATTTTCAACAACTTGTTAACATCTGATGTGCTCCCGTTTGGTAGGTCCCAATGCATATACTGGGGAAGGGGCAGGAATATCAGCTGTAAACACTGCAAGGATCTAGCAAGGCTGGAGAGGGTAGAGAAGGGGTGCAGATCAAGGGTGCTCCCACATTACCTTCTGCCATCTTTTTTCTAAGTGTATCAACGAGGTCTCCAAGTTCTGGAATATCTTGGTACAGTTCTATCAGTATGCTCAATCCAGCATCCTTCTGGAACTTTTCTTCCATTAAGTCAGCAATCTTAATTCTGTCATACTCATCTTGCATTTTCTTAGTCAGTTGTAGGTCATGGATCAGTAAAGACTTAACTATTCTAAAATTATAGTCACTGATACACTGCAATCCTGTCAGAAGAACAATTCTCTTGTATTCATTCACCATCTCTCAAATTATGGGTGAGCCTACAAGAGAATAACAGCATACATAATTACATACATGAATAGATAATAGAAACAGGGTGTGCGTAGCTGAGCGATCAACCCATGAGGTAGTGTTGTCCATAGCTGTGTACGTGAAAACAGAGAACTGATGAACAACTGTGAAAACGAGAACTGTGCCCCTGTGAAAAATGACCGGAGAACTGCTCAGTTAATAAATAAGTTTAAGAATTGCTTCCCTATTGATGATGGCAGCTGACTTAGGTCAGTGACGGTTGTGAAAGAAGAAAGCATGGAAATCAGTGGTTGTTTCAGTGTTCAGAGTATGGGCTGTGAGGTTGAAATCCTGGGTTCTTTTCCTATTATGTATAATTGATGTTGGACTTTGGTTCCTTTTTCCATTCTTTATTGGACTGGAACATTTGCTAACTCCCAATGGACCAAATGTCGTCTTCTAGATAGAATTGATTAGAAATTTCTATACATTCTTTATAACTCTAGAGGATGGATTCCAATATCTGCTTGAATTTGTAAGTAATTTTTGTCATGGGATATAAGTGTGTGTGTTTAATATTCTAATCAGGGTTAAATATTCTAGGACTATTAACTTTATTTTTGAACAGCATTGTCCAGCTAAAAAGGCTAAAAAGGCCCAGAATATGACAAGCAGCTCTTCAAAGAAACACAGGGCAGCGACTATGAAGAATGTTACAGAGGGTGAGTCAATGCCAACTTTTATACCAAAAGATCTGATCATCTACAAAGAGTCAAGGAGCAGATTAAAGCCCACTCCCAAGAGCAATCTCCTTTCAGCAAATCAGTGGAATAATCTTTATGTCAAACTACTGACCTAAGATGCCACAAACCAAAGTGTTTTTAATAATGTGAAGGTTTTATTGACTTTGTGGTTTTTGATAACATTCTTACTCTAAGATACAAGCTGATGTGACATGACAGGAGATCTTGATATCTTGATACATTTTATTCATTATGTGAACACTCAAATTTTTGCTGTTGAAAAGTTATTTCTTTTGATTTTGGAGTAGTGATCACAATTTCAACAAAGTGTCCAATAATGTAGTATCTGGGATATTTGTGTAAAAACACATCTTCTGCTAGCAAGTCCTGGATGTCAAAATATATTCAGCCCCAGTGGCACAAAGAGATGCCCTCAATTTACGCTGAGTAAAATAGAAAATGAGAGTGTTTTAACTTAGATAAATTTACACTTGAAGAACAAAGTCTCAAGAGTATTCTCTGACATTCAGTAGTTTCAGATGAGAAAGTGCACAGGAAACAACTATTGGAAGCATGATAAGAGAATGGTATGTAAAGTTGAGAGCGCCTCAGAGTAAAACCGAAGCAGAGTGAAAACCAAAGTTGCCTAGTTTTAGCTCTGCTTTAGGTGAAAAACCCTCCTCAGAGAAAGAAGAGACAGGAAGGATATCAACAGGTTCACTGAGGGAGGCAAGAATTTCAGCTCACTTAATGATTTTGTCTTCAACTGTCAGTCACAAGATATAAAGAGAATGCATGAAGTATATACATATGAAGGAAATGGCCATAATAGAAGTCAGAAAAATGTGTTATTATCCCACTCATTAGAATCTAATATAATCAGTTAATTAACATCTTTTGTCAAATTTTTTAACATATGTAGTTAAATGTTGTTGCTAATAAGACATTCATTAAAGGTGGTTTTTAAAATAAATCCTCTGTTTATTAACAAATAAAATCCATTTTTTTCTATATTAGCATTGTATTAATTAGAACTAAAGATAAAAATTCTTATAAAATTCAACAAATTATTATAGTTTACCTCCTAGAGATAGCAGCTTTAATAATAGAGTTGTCTAATAACAGCTATAAAAACCAAATTTTCAGGGTCAATTTAAGAATGCATACCCCAATTACTAAATGAAGTAATGTAAAGGCTTAGAAAGTCTACACAACATAATGATAAACTCAGTAGTATTGATTTAATATATGTACGATTCTGAGACCAACATTTAAAAACTTCTGTAGAAGTACACACGATGGGCATGGCATACCACAGTACAGAGAGTCTTCAGAACTTTCTGAAAGTATGTATCTTTTTATATCTAACTCTCCATCTCTTTCGTGCATCTTACCAATAGAAAATAAAAACAAAGAAAACTAAGAAAAAGGAAACAAACAAAACAAATTAACTTTCAGGATAGCACAGACCGACAATGTCTAAAATGCCACCTTTCCACCTGATGTATAAGCGAATGAAGAGTGTTAAATGTGCTCATGAAGTCATTGAAACACTGTGTTTGCAGCAACTATGAATCTAATATGTTTTCTACCACATGTGCCCGTTGATCCTTGTGTTGCTTGCTATGGGAATCCTAGATGATGCAGCTTGACGACCTGGTGCATTTTTCACTGAATGTTATTTCATGGGGATTTTTCTTGTCACTAACTTGTCTTTTACTCAGTTGCTCACCATGGCCACCAGGTTCTAAGCACTCCCTAGCCAAGATGAACAAAGCCTTCTTCTCCTTATTCAGTTATTCAGACTTACCTCTAAAATGTTTGTTTTATCATTTGAAATATGTGCTATGTGTTATCCTGAGCTCAGTCCTCTGTTCTGGAGGAATGAAGATGTCTGCCATCTTCCTGAAAGAATCATCTGAATCCAGCTACATTGCTGACTGCAGCTGGCACCAGCTTTGCCTCCTTCTCTCTCAACCAAAAGATCCACAAAGATTTTACCTGTAGTCTTGTGCATTTCACAGAGTACCCAGTCTCCAGAGAAAGCAGGGCATGACTCACCTCTTTAGAAAGTTGTTCAGTGCTGTCCAGATTTTGTAGAGTAGAAAGCAATTCTTCTTTCTCTCTCTCTCTCTCTCTCTCTCTCTCTCTCTCTCTCTCTCTGTGTGTGTGTGTGTGTGTGTGTGTGTGTGTGTGTGTGTGTGTGAGAGAGAGAGAGAGAGAGAGAGAGAGAGGTGTCAGAAGAAGTTAAAATAGTAAAAAGCAGTAAATCTGTTGGAAAGTGAACCAGAGGATTTGCAATCTCCTGAAATTCCAAGGAAATGAAATATTTACAGAAAGAATAAGAAAACTGACCCTAGTTGGAGTCACTGCACAACCTGAATAGTACTGTACTGAGTGTCTTATTCTGTTCTGTTTTGTGGCAGAAGGAGTGATAAAACCAGTGAGATTGTCTCTTACCAATGTTCACAGCTTTCAATTTCTTCAGAAAGTGAAACTTAAGAGTTGTCTTCCTGTAAACACTAAATTACCAAAAAAGTCAAAGAGAGTTAGTTACACTCAGGATTCTCCTTATTATAAATCTTCATAGGTACAAAATTCAGATTTGTAATCTTTATGTACACAAACTTACATGCGAGTCCCTTGGCATCTACATTCCTCTGAATGAAGGTGAAGCCTCAGCTTTAAAAAGCCGAGTCACCCAGCCACTGTCTTTCCTGCTCGGGATGCAGATGGTAGCAGGAGAACTTGGCTGTGCCAGTTGCCAGCTGCACTTGAACGGGTTTCAAAGAAAACCTGAGATGAGACAGCTCTTGGTTTAAGTCGTTCTGTAGCATCCACTCGTTCATTAGTGGTTCCCAAGGCCTGGGCTTGCAGAGTATAATGTTGTTACATACAGACGACTCCAAGCTCCAACCTCGAATACATAGAAAGCAATCTGGCATTATCTGCCCTCTTGATTGTAAAATTAAGCTGCCCCCCTTCAATGACAAAGTTGGTGACAGCCTATGTTACTGCTGCATCAATGCCCGAACCATGACTGCCGTTCTGCTGCTAATTGTTTTCATATAACCAAATCTGCCTTCACTACTAAAAATAGCCAAGAAAAGAAACTACCGAGAAGCTTTTCATAGGACCATTGTGCTTCTATAAGAGCTACCAGAGGAGACTTTCTTCCTACTTACCCCAATCTGAACAGCCTGATTATACAAAGAAGAGTGTCTGGACCAGTTATAGCCTACATCAAACTGAGGGTTTCTTATTGTTGGAGGAGGCCATTTGTTTGAATCACACAGAAACCATATTATTTAAATAACTCTTTGATCTACTCGCTCTAACTTCTTATTACCTAACTCTTACATATTAATTTAACCCATCTCTATTAATCTGTGTTACAGGGCAAAGTTCCATTGGACTCTGGCAGGGCTACATGGCTTCTCTCTGACTCCGCCCTTCTTACTCTCATTCAGCTTAGTTTTTCCCGCTTAGCTAAGTTCTGCCCTGCTATAAGTCCAAAGCAGTTTCTTTATTCATTAATGGTAATCACAGCATACAGAGGGGATCCCACATCAGCTTACATCAATCACAGATGTTCTTTTGCTAGGCATCATGGGGAAATCCCGACTCTTTGGCCTGTGTGAAAATGGTTGCAGGGGCACTTAGTGTTTCCCAATGTTTGTACAGTAAACACTTAATAACCAGTGTTTGTGAAAGTTTTGCTGAGGCTGTGCTTTCAGAAGTTATATTCATGAGTTGCAGTTATGTGATTTTTCTCAAAACATCTTTAGATTTTTGAATCTAAAATCAATCAGTGTTGGTTATAAGGTTAGTCCGTAAATGTATTTGGGTGGTAATCTTTTTGAACAAATGGGCCAGGACAGCAAGGGATAGCCAAGTAGCTGTTAATTAAAGAACCACAGTTCCCAATCTCCCAGCATATTTGTCCATTTGCAGAAAAATGCACTCAAGAAGAACTGCTTGAATAAGAACTTGGATCATCTATCGTTAATTGTTACGTCAATTTTTATGAGGGCTTCTGCAACTGGAAACACCTTCTCAATGCCCAGGAAGAAATGGATTCTCACTTTTTTTTCTATCTGGAAAAAAATGTCCAAAGGCAGGTAATATAGGCAATCAATCTGAGAGCTCCTACAGGGAAGAAGAAAGCTGACTGTTTTAATCCCAGGCAGAACCTTAGAAGAGATGCTTGAAGTATGCAGTTGGAGCCCTCTGAAGCTTCTACTGAAGCAGAAGTAAGTCAAGGGAAAGCAC